TCACCGCAATAGAATGCATTTTTTATTCAGAATCACAGTTGGGTGTACAGCTTAATATAATATATTATATTACATTTGATTTAATTTATGAATATAAATGTGATATTATATTATTATGTATATTGTATATTGTATATTTGCTATTTTCTCTTTGTGAAGTGTTTAACTGCAGTATTGAGAACATTTTCAACATTTAAGCAATAAAAAATGCAAATCTACATAATATTTTGTTGTTAAAGTTCACTGTAAATCGTTATTGTTTATTGTGCTGTAATATTGAAACATTATGGTATGACAAAGTCCATAAAATCAGTTCTAGAGAAAGGAAAAAGGAAAGGCAAATGAGAGATAGAGGCAATATTATTGTGGTGTAGTAAAATTGTAATTATAATTAGTACGAACGTTTTAAATAAAGCAAAAGAATAATAATTGATAAAACAAAATAATTAAGAGTGAAACGATTATGTCTCACATATTTTACGAAATCACTCAAACAATCGAACACATTTGACCTCATTATGTTATTTAAGATTTATACAATATAATATTATAATGATACCTGATGACGGGCATTTGACTATTAAGGTGGCTAGCAATGTTAATCACTGATAAGCAGATCGGGTATTACTGCAGCCTTCTAACGTGTCTACTTGCAGTACTACTAATACATTGTACTCTCTGTGCATGATAGCCGGTTTTATTAATTAATTTTTTCTCTTTATCTGATTCGTTATTTTTATCTCTTTTTTTTACGAGCCTTCATCAGAATAATTCAATCTCACATCGTACTGGGTCAGCGGCATATACTTCTACATAATAATAATAATAATAATAATAATAATAATAATAATAATAATAATAATAATAATGTTACTCAGTCTTATCATGAACTGGACCGCTATGATCTTGATTGCATGCATTCTGTGAGATTCAAGTGTCTGGTTTTCACACCCAAAACGATTGGTATGAGTTGTCTATATCATGCGGCAATCAACTTATTAAATCATAATAATTTTATACGATTTCCCCCCCCCCCTCGCTGTTTTTTAAGACTAGTAAAACTTTATATTACGTGATTCTATTTTAAGAAACTATAGGAATTTCAATTTTGTATAGTTTTATTGTCAGTCTAATCTATAGGTGAGCTTTTGAATAGTTTCCTCCAAAACTGTATTTAGGTGGGTATATCTTACTATTATTAATTATAAACAAAAATAAAATAATTTTGAATTTGGTCTAATTAGTTTATAATACTGCTATATTATACATACCATATACCACACATTAAAATATAATGGTTATTGTACTTCATTGATAAATTTAATTATTCTTGTATAGGTATATATTATTATTAAAAATCATAATATCAAGTGTCACTGTGAAAAAGAAAAAAAAATTCTATTTATAAATGCTTTTTGATTAAAACGATAGTGTAAATCAATAATTTATTATTTCAATTAAATTGTTTACAATAATCTGACTCAAGACTTTAAGAGCTTAACAATAAAGATGTTCTAGTGTTATACGGATATACGGTTATGCAGTTAATAATCAACTATACAATTAAAATACAACTGTCAAATAGATATAGTTGTCTTACTATATAATATTATGTATCATAATGTTGGATATAAAAATAACAAATCACGATTTATTTTATGATAGAAGATATGTGGTGAATTATTTCGCAATCTAATAAAAGTATACTACCTGCAACATAATATAGGTACCAAATAATAATACACTATAATATTATAGTATTGTTCTTTTTTGTAGTGTACATTGAGAAAAATAAAATGATTAACACTAATACAAAAAAAAGAGTAATTTACCTTATCAAAAAAAATATATTTTAGTTTTGAAGTATTTTATCAGCTATTTTTATCTTTTATTCTTTTTTCAGACAGATACGAATGACACTAATTGCTTCACTTATTATGTTTAATTAATACGAATCATTAGCAATTATTTACATTAAGTGTAAAACGGTGTTTTTTTTTACAATTATTGTACATACATCTATAATTTATAAATTTATAATAATATATCTATACAATAATGTTTTAAAATAAATTTAATTTGCAATATTAATAAGAATAATATGATCATGTTTAGTCTTCGTGAATTCACCACAGAAATATAGGTAAAATCTCATGATATTAGTAAACAATTCACACAAGTAAAAATAATGATTATTGACTAATAATCATTATATTAATTATTAAATTAAATTTTCCAACAAAAAAATACTGTATAAATATATTACAATACTGTTATAAAGAGCATATAAAGATCATGGTGAAATATGAATTTTATTTTAAGTCATCATTACTCATTAATAACTGCAGTTATTACAAAATAAACTGTTTGTTTAAAGGATTGAACATAATATACCACCGGATTAGCTACAATTAATAGACCTTTCATGTCTTTAATTTCAAGTATTTCCGTCAGAAGCTTTACTAGTTTTTCCAAATAACGTTTGCTTTTTTAACATTTTTATTGTCGTCATAGTCGGAATGTATTCGAAACACACTTATATAGGCTTCAGATGTCTCGCATGAAGCCCCTTGAGAATCCGACACCTAGACCAACGTGATGGTTTTATCAAGTTTTTCACACCATTGCAATATTTTTATTTCGATAACCACCAGTAAAGAAGTTCTCTTAACACAAACGAAATCTAAAGCATTCACAACGCTCAGTCGAGCACGAACCACAGGCGTTATTGAGTTTATCTTTCCTGCCACTGGCTGCACGTGCCTTTCCATATTAAATAGAAATGGAGAATTTTCGAGTTTTCGAGTTTTCAAATAGGTATACAATCAGATAAAAATCATAATATATATTTTAACATTTATTTTTTTTAATAAGAGTTCCTATATTATAATACGAGTACTTATATACTAATGAGTACACGGGTGGTTACATACTTTCTATTTTAGAGTTCTTACTTTGTGTCTTTTTTAGTTTGTTTAAGTTTTGAATGGTTCGCTGACATCAAGTCATAATGTCAACATTTGTCAAATATTTATTCATCAAAATCAAGTGTTAAAGAAAAAAGGAAATTTGATATAAGATGATTGGCGATTATAACAACAAAATAACAACACCAACAAATTTGATGTATGGTGAGCAGGACTTAAAAATTCTACATCAATAGCAACTTTTAAATAACTTGTTAAGTGTAATTTATTTTATAAGATATTTTAATTATCGAAGACCTAGAACTTTTTTAAAATTTATTAAAAGGTTTGGAAATTTATTTTTAAACTCAAAATATAACCCCAAGTAAGAATAATATATAAAATGTATCATAGATAGGGCCCAACGGTACTTATGAGTACCATGTTAAAATTGTGAATTTGACCGACATTACTCTGTAGTACCATCATCGTAAGTCAAATTTGGGTTTTGAAGAAAAAAAAAATGTATTTTATGGTTGGTCTACAAAGGGTTAATTGGGGTCACCGAATTACATTTCCCGTGCCTTAATTGATACGATATAATTACATTGATTCATGAAATATGAAATTCTAAAATCCTATACCTACCTGAAATATGATAAATAATATAAATATACAATGTTACTGTATCACAAGCTTGCTTGGTGGAGATAGATTTATTTTAATAAACAATTAGGTAAAAAAATGTATGTTATACATACCTGCCTATGCGAATACGAGTATAGGTTTGTTGAAAATGCACAAAACCAGAATATAGTGAATTTTTGAAATAAATTGTTCACGGATAAACATGTTATCGAACAAAAGCCTAGAAACCAACAATTACCAATCCTAACCTACATAATATTATGAAATCTTTAAACTTGATTACTATTAATATATCATGTTTAGATATTCTTCACAATTATATATTATATTATGATGTGCACGTGTCCACAGACTGTCGGTCTTGCATCGTCGTAATATTATGAGTTGCAACACCAATTGTAACGGTTAAAACCAAAAATCACATCAGAAATCGATTTAGTCGTGACGCGGCGTTATCGATAATAATTGTTGCAGGCTAAAATTTTGTTGCATGTGCATGAGTTTTTTTTTGGTTTATAAAATTTATTGCCAGGTGTAAGCTGTCAGCTATAAATGGATTCAAGACTGGCAGTGAATTTAAGTTTTTAGCGGCTGAATTCATATTTTTGTATGTCCAAAAATGTTATTGATTTTAATGACACCAATTTACGGATTTTTAATTGTATATTTGATAATTGTAAACATTTTTCAGACATTGATGTTATTATAGCCTCGTCGATTCAATAATATTTTTACTACGAAGTATTATTAAATTATTTTTTACTTTTAAACTCAGTTATTGTAACACTGAATGTCGATGATGTTAAGTGTAGAAAATTATACCAATATTTATCATTTTATAAGAATTAAAACGCAACCTATAAAACGTTAGAAAAAACTTGTATCGATGTAAAATAATTCAGATCCGAGTGATTAAAATATAATTAACACACCGATTGAAACAGCCTGCAGTCGTGTGTTTAAGCAGTGCGTTTTCCAAGCCGATCACCGAATAGGTGCGAATAACCGTCGTTGGACGGCCGTCGCCGCGTCCGTGCGCGCCGCCGTCACGGTGACGCTGCGTAAAGTTTCGCGGCGAAGGGTCGTCGGCGGCGGCAAAACGCAAAGACGAAAATCAAACGGAAAAAGAAAACGACGGGCCGCCGCCGGCGCGTCGGGTAACGCACACACAAGCGGGCGGGCAGGCGGGCGGGCTGGCGGGCGCGCGCGCACTCGCACCGTCGGACCGGCGGCGGGCGGGCGAGTCGATGGGCGGGCGGCGGCCGCGGCGGCGGCGATGGGCGCTAGTGTGTGTGTACGTGTGTGCGTGTGTACGCGTGTGCGCGCATGTGTGTGTCCGTATGTGTGCGTGTGTGTGTGTGTGTGTGTGTGTGTATTGGGCGCGCGCGAGTGTGTGTGTGTGTGTGTGTGGCGCGCGCGGTGTGCCGGGTCCGCGGCGCGACCGTTGGTTTTGATCAGTCTGCGTTCGGCCGTCGTTCATACGCAGCTCTCCCGTCCACGTCGTCGATCCCGCTCGATTGCTCCCCCGATCCGGGTCCGAGCCGCGGAAAAACTCCGTCAGCCGTCCACGTCCGTTTGACGCCGCCGAATCGAAAACCGTTCGCGAATTTTTTTCGAAAAAATTTTTTTTTTCTTCTTCTCATCGTATATTATTATACATGTAGTTTTCGAAAAAAAAATTTCGTCTACCTTCGTTCCGCCCACGCGGCCCAAAGCGATCGCGATCTCGCAAAGTCCGACGGGTCACTATGATCGGTCCGTCGCCGTCGCCGACGCTGTCGTTCGACCGGCCGGCGAAACGGTGCGCACCGATCGTCCGGACCAAACGGTAAATCGGCCACGACAATAATATTGTAATTATTGTAACGCTGCCGCGGACATTACCGTCGCGATCCACACCTGACAATCGTATTATATAATATTTCGTATGATATAGATAATTTTTTTTTTTTTGGTTTTTAATTTGTTCGCGCTCGCTCCGTGTATTTATCTCGCAAACGTTCGTAGCAGAATTTTTCCCGCGTCCGGTCTCCACTATAGACCGTCAGCGATATTAATTATATTTTAATCACGCATATCCGCGGTACCTGTACCCGTCAAGAACGATAATAGTATCGACTTTTACTGTGCACCGACGACGATCTTACCGCACACCAGAGGCGAACCGCAGTGATAGTCGACCGCGAAAATCTCGCGAGAAAAGGACAGCAGGAGCCCACCGTCAGGACGGAGGGAAAACCGGCCAAAGGTCGACGGCAGGTCTTTCCGTGCAGACATGGTGTGTGGCCGACGACGACGACGCCGCCGCTACGCACCTGAATCCTCACCTGCTGCATGAGTCGCGTTCAACCACTTACGTGAGTATATACTCGATAAATGTTTATTGTCATCGTATTATTGTAACCCACCTAAACATTATAAATAATATGAAATGTACGCGTACTTATGGTAGAAGGTATGCGAATTTTGTCCGTCTGTCGTGTCTTTTGACCGTTTTAGTTTTCCAGTTTTTCACTTCTATGGTTTTCCCGCCATACGTGCATATATCTGGTGTACAAAATGCGTACCTATCGTTCAGGCAATAATAATATTGTTTTTGGTTATTATTATTGTTACTATTATTATTATTGTTATTATTACTTTTATTATTATAATTATTATTAAGATCGCCGTACGTGTGTGGTCGGTAGGTTTAATGCGAGCAATCGATCATCCGCTCGTTTGCATTATAATAATAAATATTCCTATAGTATTTTTCGTATCGTATATATTATAAATAATATATTTTTACGGTTTATTTATACTTATTATTTTTATTATTGTTATTATTTGTATTCGTATATTTTTTTTAATTTAAAAATCTTTGGATAAAAACGTGTGAAAACGACCCGGCGTTGCCTTATTGGGATGAATAAATAATTCGGCGACAGCTCAAAACGCGTGTACAAATCGCCCGCAGTAGGCGTTTTTTTTATCTGATTTACATATAATAAATAAAATAAAATGTGTAAATCTAAGTTAGAATCACATTCACACACGCATTTTTTCACACTAGTTTTGTTCACTGGAATATTTTTATCTAGTCACGATGATTAAATCTAACAATATATTAATCCCGTGCATTATTCAACCGAGGCGCCGCCAGTAGTGTATTCAAATGTTTCGGTATTTAAATTGTTTTTCGAGTGATTTAAGTATACAATATACAATAAACATAATATAAATGTATAAAAATAATTAAATTATCTGATCAACCAAGTAATAATTTACAATTCATTGTTTGAATACAAAAATATAGGTAACACACATTCGTACCTTCATAACAATAATTTTTTTCGGGCAATTGAATGCCAAAATATAGATGCGTTAAATAAAAATATAATACCTACCTGCCTATATTGTTTTATTTTATAGAACTCCGAGAGTGGAGTAAATTTTTCCAATATTCATACGATAATAATCTGGGGATATATAATAAGGGATGTATTTGAAGTAGGTAATAAAGTGACGAGATAAAAATTAATCGACGGCGTAGCGTTAATCTTAAAGGAAATTACGATGTTTCATAATTTTTCAATTTTCGTATGAAACGACGCGTCATGTAAACCTGTCGAGGTCGATTGTCGGTCAATTTATTGGTATTCGAAGAGGGTGGGTGTGTACGAGCGCTGACCGGTGATTAAAAACCGTCTAGGGTGCTGGTTTGTAATTAAAACATGAGTTAAAGATAATACAAAACTGTTATGCGTTAATTAAGGCGCCAACCGGCCAAGTGAACGAGAAAAAACACTTACCTATGATTAACGGTCGAAAAAATGTTGTTATTATAATTATTATTTTTTTTTTATCCAGAAAAACGCCTAAAACCTAATTAATTTTATCAGCCAGTTGTGTAGTTTTTTGAAATTTGAAAAATGTGTATAAATTAATCGCGAGTCATCAATTTCCGCAAACAAAAATTAATTTAATTTCGACTACAGATAAAAACTCTTTCAGTGACCGTTGCACCTTTTAATTGTTCAACTCTGGGCACTCACATGCTATATTGCTATAATCACGATAATGAATATAATATTTACACGGAAGATTACGTTTCAAAAGTATAAAAATGTACCTACTGTTATTAGTTTGAATCATTTTACTTTCAAAATCCAATGATACATAAAATTAATGTTTTTCCGGAAGGTAAAATACTAGGTTCAATAATGTATTAAGCTCTAACCATTAAACAAAAGTCAGAAACTATCATTTTTTCATTTGATACTATTTTTATTTTATTTTATCCAAAATAGTAAAATATTATACCAAGCAAAGTCTACGAAGAATTATTAAAAAATAAAAGCTATGTTATTATATTATCATACATGATACTTTTGTTTTGTAAACGAGCGATTATTAACGAAAAGTAAAAACAATACATTATCATAACATTATGGTTATGCACTTATATAATATATATATATGTATTTGTTCTTTATATAATCGAAATTTTAATAGTGTGAATATTTAATTAACTGGTTACAATTAATGATTCGGTACACGACAGACCTTTATATAATATATAATATGTAGTATCAATAGTAGTACGGACATTCCTTAAAGTAAAATATAATAAAGTTTTTGAAAAATTGAAATATCCAACAATATGGAATTTTTAAAACTCTTGAATTACGAACTATTGTTTAATCCACTTTCACCACAATTACCACACACGTAAACACATACGCGAGCGCACGCTCGTTTTTTCTGTTTATAAACACTCCCTATATTATATTATGTTTTGTGGGTCATAGTCAACAATTTTTCCATCTGAATGACATAAATAATAACAATAATAGTAATAGTAATAATAACAATAATAATAATAATATTAAGTAAATAACCATCTTGAAAAATACATTCTAGTTTTGTTGAACTCTGTAATTTAGCCTGTACGTGGTGCCCCAATCTCGCGCCCGTACGGATCAACTGACCAAAAGAGTTCAACTGACCGTATAGCTGTATAATAGCTAGTATATGAGTATTATATAGTAATCTCTCCGTCGCCGAGATAGGGAATACGAGATCGCGCGTGCTCTAAGTGGCCACGTTTACGACAATATATTAATGAATTCCTTTTGAAAATCCATCACATGGCTATAGACCGATAAGTATACATCGTATATATATATAGGTATTATAATATTATTATGAGAACATTCCAAACTTCTTCCCCTCTTGGTCTTTCAGGCGGCTATGCACAGCACGCGGTGTAACAAGCTAGACGAATGGAGAGGGGGGAGGAGAACCTAGTGATTATTAAGTAAACTGTAGGCAATTAACCGGGGTTTGTCGTTTTATGTGTGAGCTAGTGTGTGTGTGTTTACATACGAAATATCCAACAGGAGAACACACACACATACACATGCATACATACATACATACATACATATCCGTTATTAATAGAACGTACCTGGCTGGCACTGCATATAGGAGGTGCGTGTCTTTCGTTTTTCACTTAGGACGCAATCCAGTATTGAGTTTATATAATATAATATAATATATAATGTGGGGACCCGAAGATAAGGCTCCGGATGCTCCATTACCCGCTTCTTCTTGTTTACACGAGTCGCGTTGTGCTTATAATAATCATTATATTATGGTCTTGTCACATGTACCGTCGTAGATGGAAACCTTGAACCGGGGAAAAAAGAAATGTAATATACGAAGGTGATAACACGTGGAAATTAGGATTTCTTAGTTTCTTTGTAATGCGTAAAAATGTAAAACCATTAAATAGAGAGCCACGGATAAATGAGATCTAGAACTAAACTATACGCTCGACAACATATAGACATCTATTAAAAAGTGTACCCCATCACTGCAGATATGATTCACAAAAATCAAAATAGAAACTTTAGAAAGCAATAGGCAAAATACAAGTATGGTGAATATGGACTGTGTTTAGACGAACAATTATTATTCTACGGTATTATTAATTATATATTATTATGTAAGAATTAATATTTTTATAATACTATTTTTAGTTATGAGCAAGCGTATTCGATAAAAAATAAGTTTATTTTTTTATGCGAAAAAAATGTATTAACATAAAACTATAATAGATAATTATTATTACCTAATATTACGTTAATTTTGAGTGGGTGAAATAAATATGTATAATGCTTAGATTATAGAAGCTATTTTTGTAAACTTCAGATCATATTAATATTAAACTTAGGCAAGTACATGGTCTATTATTGATTTAAAATGTTACATATTTTCAAGAAACCCTAAGTTACTTAGTCAGAGAATTTTCCCAGAAACCTCGGAACATAACTAGAAAATCACAAAAATGTATGTTAATTTAATGCGTTAACATTTAACTTTATATAAGAAACGTATTACTAATGGGAAAAAAATACATAGGTACGTGGTAAGTGGGAACTACGTATCAGTTGAACACTGGTTGTTATTGGACATATTTTGTCATTTGGTCATAAAATTAAAAAAATACAGCAAAATGTTCATTACAGTCATTGGGCAATATTGGAAGCGCAACATTACTATTATATTTGCCAACCTCCGGAATGTCGGTCGAATGGAATAATACAGCGATGAATAGTTTATAATTTTTTTTTATTAATCATTGAATAAACATACGTTATGTATAACAAGCATGATACCGTAATAGTTTTTACATTTGCTATCGAAATGAGTCAATCGTGATTAAGTATGAAAATCGTAATCTTATACTTTTTGTGATTTGATTTTCAATTATTGTCGGCTTCTCTCAGTAACATGATGTCAATCTAGAATGCTCGTCAAATCTATCAGACGATATCTTTTGGACGTTGACGTGATCAAGCATTGAAGAGGTGGGATCAAATGTGGGATCACACAATTGAACACTTGCCCTCGCGGGTCAACCTCACCGGTTACTGTTAACAATAATAGCCAGTCAACTTGTTTCATCGGAGACATTAATGCGATCAGGCTCGTTCTCATTGTCATGAAAGTGCCTCGCGGTCAATATGAGAGTCATCAATTAACCGAAAACTATGGATAGACATCACTTCTCTCTTATTCCATCACACCTTCTCTCACTCATTTGCGAGAGCTTTCTCTCTCTTTCTTTCTCTTCTTTTTTTTTAAACATTCCTTTATCATAATTACAACTACAGTTTATAGATATTTGGGTACAGGCCAGGATTTTCCCAATTCAATTTTCATGTTAATAATATCACAATATATGAAATGAAACCATATAATGACGTATTTTATAAAAATCTGAATTATATATCATATTTATTTTTACATGCATACAGCAGAGAGGGGGGGGGTGTTTAAACACCTAAAACACTCCTAAGTCTACGCG